GTGTGTGTGTGTGTGTGTGTGTGTGTGTGTGTGTGTGTGTGTGTGTGTGTGTGTGTGTGTGTGTGTGTGTGTATCCTGAGGGACAGCTCAAGTCAAGCATTTTTGAGACAAAGTTAGAGAGGTGAGGCTGTTTAGGCATGTGCATAGGAGGGATTGTCGATATACTGGACAAAGAATGTTAAATCTGGAACTGCCAGGCAAGAGAAAGACATTACTCTCACATGAAGATTTATGTATGTACTAAAGAGGACATGCAAAGATTTGGTGCAAAAAAAAAAAGAGGATGGTAAGGAATATCCAGTGTGGGAACTTCTAAAGGGATCAGCTGAAAGAAGAAATCTGTTTCGAGTTGTATTGTATTGCTGATGAAATCTGGTGAAACAAACTTCTTTCTTTTTTTTAATTTAGTTGGTATGTATCGCTGGATTGCATTTTGTCTCTCAGGACAGCTGTGCTAATTTAATGTTTTCTGAGAGAGGGTGGAGGAAAACTCAGAAAGGAGTGGCATGGGAAAATTACTTGGAATGTATATGCGTCTGCGATACGCAAATGCTCCAGCTGTGCACAAACCCTATCCCCACTTTGTTTTCAGTGTGGTGACTTTAAAATGCACTGAGCTACTGTGCCAGAGAATTTCTGTCTCAGTCTGTGTAGTCTCTGACTGGGTTTGGCCCTGTTTTAGTTAAAGTTTATTGTTAAGGGCTATGTTCATGTGTGCATGTCTTTTCATAATTATGTTCTTTGGCTTTCTTTTTAGAGGTTATTATTTAAATTATCGCCCTACTCAGCAGCAAATAGCATTAAGATTTCAGTTTTTTTCTTTTCATAGTTTGCTCTTTACAAGATGAACTGGTTGAATCTTGGCTGCTCTAATCAAGCTTATTTCCAGCTGGAGTAGCTGTCAAAGTGACAACACCTTTATGTTATTTTCTGGTTTTATGTTTTATTCTATTATCCATTAGATTGTTACATTGTTATGTCTGTTTTTTGTGTTTTATTATAAATTGATTTTCATCTGTAAAATTGCTTAATAAGTACATTTTACTTTTACTTACTAACAGCGGCAGCATTACACATAGCCATAGCCAGCAGCCACTACCTTAATTATAACTAAGCAAGCAGCTAATGTAGCTGCAGGGTAACTGCTAAGAGTTAAATGGCTGACATTAATATGATAACTCCATAGCATGTTAATGTTTATGAAACAGAAGCATTACTGATGTCACAAAATAAATTGATGTTCCATGATGTGAACATTATCAACAGTTTATGTTCAGCTGCTAATGAGGGGAGCATCTATGTAAGCCTATCTTTAGCAGTGCTGTCTGAAGTTACACGTTCACTGGAGGAGGCACAGACAGCACTTTTGGTATCGATATTGTTGGAGATAAAATTATAATTCATTATTAATTTTCAGTATTTTCATCTGAGTTAAGTATAGATGAAAATCTTTTTTTTTCCTGCCAACACTCTGTTGAAGAAGTTAAGAAGGTATCTTCCAGAGTGAGATCCAGTTAATACATAAGACAAGAGTCATCTAATTCAGAATCTTTTCGGCATACATCTTTATCACTGTCCTTATTGAATCATAACGGTTACCTCTGTTTTCCACCCAGACATTCCAGATTGGAAAATATTCACTGCTGTGGGATTAAAGCCTACAACATTAAAGACCCACAGATGAAGTGCTGTGCAGGAACACTGTACAATCTGACACTGTTAGATGAGCATGGACAGGACGCACAGTGTTGCGGATCCCTTCTGCAAAAGCAACAGGTAGAGTTAATATTACTGATGCTATCTCAAGATCTACTCTTTGTTTATGTAATCATGTCTTACACCTTATTAGGTCATAAGATCTTAGAGTAGAAGAGAATAGAATAGAATTCAACTTTATTGTCTCTCCTACAACATGCAATGATCCAAGCACACTCTGTGGGAGGAGGTATGCAAAATATGGAGAGGGGCTTCCAACCAGTGCAAATGTGCTCCCATGCAGTCCTCAACCCATCTATCTTCTTAGCTAAAAATGTAACTATTAACATCCTTGAAGGCGCGTGCCAATGCACAGCTGAGTCTTGTTCTGATGTACTGTCTTTCCTATGTTGTGACATGTGGACAATGATCCAAGGACACTTTAGGGGAGGAAATGTGCAAAATACTTTCACAGGAGGCTTGGCTGCTGTGAGGAAGGAGAGGGAGAGATGAAAGGGTGGTTGCTGTTGCAGGTTTAAGCCTTGATTATAATATGTTACAAAGATGGACATGGATACCTGGAGACCTAATAGTGGTCATTCCTCTTACACATCTTTGAAGTCCGCTTGATGTCTCCCATCTGGGTATATGATGAGTCAGTACATTGTCTGCAGATGTTCCTAGACCATAATAAACCAAAGCTTTCAAACAAGAAGTTTCATGGTGTCAGTGAGCTGGACCCATAAGCCCCTTTACCATTAGTACCTACTTTAATTGACTTGGCATGGTTTGTCACAGTTTCCAGGATTTTCCATTAGGTCCAGGTGCTTTTTTAGTAGCTGCTCAGCCCAGATTCCAAGCAATCCAAACAGATACTAAAATATGACGTCGTCAGACTGGTTGCCACGAATTGGGTGGTAGGTAGCAACACTTGATGAGTCATGAGAGTATCTCGTTTGCGAAAATCCATAGTCTGCTTTGAAGTTCACCTAAGTCCACCTGTTGGAGCATTCGTGTCACATATCAATTGCAATGTGCAATGCACAGATATTTTGCTATGACAACAAGCACACAAATAAGGAACTAGTGGGTTGTAATGGAAAACCAGTCAATCCGAGTCAAGTTGTTTCGATTCGTAGAGAGTTGATCCGAGTAGGTACTAATGGAAAAGGGGTTATCGAGTCACACGTAAAAAAAAAAAATTGACTTCGCTCATTGGCCCACTCCAAACTGCTTTCAACTCCACTGCCGTTGGTTGGCTTTAAACCAGTGATAGTCTTTATGCCAACCAGACTTCCTTCCCTCACAATAATTTCCTCCATAGTTTAGGGATAAAACATCCAAACAAAAGCTAAAAAATGTGCTGTGCATTACAGTGCTCAGATTGTTACATAGGAGAAACCTAAAAATCCCCCAGATGCATGGTACAACACAGGAGAGCCAAGTCATCAGGATAAGACTCAGCTGTACATTTATAACTAAAGGAGAACAGACACTCATTTGAAAATCCCACCAGAAAAACAGTTGGTTTAAGAGAGGAGCAAAGCAGTCCAATGACGATCACTGAATAGAGGTGGTGGTCTATGACACCAACTATCAGACAGTCTTGAAATCCCTTCCCTGGTGTTTCAAACCACACTTGAAGCACACCTTTAACCATGTGATCTTAATAACTCACATGATTGCATGGTGGGGTAGTGTCTCATAAGAGATTCACACTTTGGCTTTAATTACCATAATGACACTGCTAGATTTGCACATATTTGCTGTTATTGAAGTCACTTAAGACTAACATGGACTGAATTGTGAATCTACACAGACAAAGCTGATTTTAGCTTATGTAGCAACATTACTGGGTGAACTTGACATTAACTAACACATTCCTCAAAAACTCCAAACAATTATGTTTATGTATAATTGTATAATTATGTATATAAACAACACTGTCTTTTTAAATCCAGGACATTTGCTGCTCAAGTGAGGACAGAGAAGTGCTATACTCTGCTAAGACGGGATTCAGATGCTGTGGTCACCTCTACTTCAACACCACCCTGTGGTCATGCTGTGCTGAGCGGCTGAGATCAATCCATGAACCAGGACAGGATCGGAGAAAGATGAATAATGGTCTGTCATCTCTACTTAAAAGTCCTCTCACAAAGTAGAACTAAATTTTGTGTCATTTGAACTTAATAGCACAGCTTAGATCATGTATTTCACCTGTTCTGTGTCTATAATGTTCTTTTACAGAATCCAGACTTCAATCAGTGAATAATATGAACAAAACTGATCTTTGCAAAAAAAGTAGGACATCAGTCTATATGTAAATTTAAAAAACAAAACATTGTAGCAATTGCTGTTTAGGAATTTATGGGGGTTTGTAATGCAATGTATTTGTGTGCGTCTCTGTTTAGTGCGCATCGGGACGGTGGAAAGTGTCTCTCTGCATAGCATTGTGTTCAAGAGCGTGCTGAAGATCCGTGGAAAGAAGGCCAAAGTGAAAGCGTTGCCTTTCCCTTATATCTTGAAAACGGATGATCACTGCAGCTCACCCAAACTGATTCCTGGGAAGATCTACTTCTTTAACAAAGTTAATGTTTTCACCGATTCCAACCATGACACTGTTCTTCAGTCACTCCACTTCATTTTTTCTAAGTGTTCAGCTTAGATCACCAGTCACTGATGGATACATATTACTTCTTACTCACACACTGATTTACATTTTTTCACAACAGCTATTACAGAGATGCGTTGTCACATAACGGTCTGTTACCTCTAAAACAATCAACCGTAAAGGTACTCATCATCATAAAAAAATTAAACCTGACGTTTTACCAGCAATACCAGCAGCAAAGTTGGTGAAAACCAACCCAAAAAGATCTTTTCAGTTCATCATTGCTTTTCTTACTCATTCAGGCTCAAAATATGACCTGTTTGCTTGGATTAGCATGCACTCACCTTGAACATTGCTCTGGATCCCACGGATCTTCATGAGCTTTACTGATCTTTATTTTACCTTTTCAGATTTTTGAATAGGTTTGAGTTTGCATTTGCAGCAGTGTTGCACTGCCAAAAATTTTAGGCCAGTCACTTTTTTTTCTGCAAGGTGAGATCAGTTATTGTTGCACAAATAACAGTTGGAGGTTTTTTGTTTGTTTCTTTTAAAATTTTCTATTACACAGATTATGTAACTTGAGTAAAAAGAAAAACAAAGCTAATTTGCCAGTAGCAGGCAACCATTTACCTTATTTAGAGACTATGATGCACAATATTACTGCAATACAGACAAATGTGATGTAAGTATACAATGCATTACTTTTTATATCACACCCACACTACATACTTATTTCATTAAGAAAATCACATTGTGTTTCCAAAACAGCAGTATCAGTTATTAGTGATATTAGTTATACATTGTTATCAATATATTATACATTGTTTTTCAAATATTGCTTCACTTTTTACTTTACTCTGCCTGTATTCAGCCAAACCATGTTCCTCTTTGGTGTAAGATGACCCAAAAATATGGGGTTATTTTTGTGCCACTATTCTGAGCGCACGTAAAAAAAATTGCAGGTGCAAGTGTTGCATTTTGTGGAGAAATTTATTTTGAGTGGAGAAAAGCTAAACTTGAGTGAACAAAATTCATTGCTGCATGCAAAAAATGCATTTCAGTGTTTGCTATTATAGCAGCCCCTCTCGCTCAGTTTTTGCATTTGCGCTTGCTCTCAATGTGTTGCTTGTGCTCTCAACATTTCTGCCCGTGCACATTCAACTCTTTCTGTACACCGTTATATTTGTGCCACAAAACCAGCCAATCACAGACTTGGATGCAAAGAAATCTGATTGGCTGTTTTGGTCTCCAATCAGCTTGAAATAACGAAATGCAATATCCCAGAATCCATTTCGTCCAAAACTCAAACGAGGCTGTGGCGGAGGAACACAGAGTGGCGGAGTTTGAAATATTACTCTTTCTGGGTCACAAAATAAACTTTTAAGATATTTTCATGCGAGAATGGTGCCGTGTAAACTTCAAATATCTGCTCGATTCATCAAGACATCACATATTTACAAAAGTGCTCTAATGTTTTTGGAGATTCCTGATAGCCACCAGCTGACCGCATAGCTGGACTGGCCATTGGGCATACCGGGCATTTGCCTGGTGGGCCGATGGTGATTTTTCATTTTTATGTTTGTTTGTTTTTTTTAAAACGGTATAAACAATAAAAGGTGGTGGATTAGCCAATTGGTAACAGGCATCTCCGAAAACATTACAGTATTAGAGTACATTAAGTAAGAACAATGTACTTCAAAGTGTAATATTTACTGAACTTCATATTGTAGTCAGTCACACAACTTAAAGTAATTACTGAGTGTAACACAGCCAATTGGTACACAGTGTTGTTGAAATCTAAATCTGTAATATATGCAATGATGAAATATGATCACCAACTGCCAAAGTCTGAAACAAAAAGAAAAAGCTAAATGGCCTGACCTGCTCTGCCACCTGAGCTACAGCCACCCCATGAAGCTAAAGAAGCAAACAGTATATCAAAGGTTGTGCGAGTCTGTGATCAGCAGTAGCTGACACCTTAGCAGTCATTATAGCAGGTAGCACACAAGAATAGCATGCAGCTCTGTGCTCAAAGCAGCTATTAGCTAATATAGTTTATCTTTTTAAAAATTGGGGATTATTATTTTTATGCTTTTATTTTCTGATTCTTGCACTAAACTAAATTATAAATGGTGACTGTTTGCACATCATTAACCCATATAACTGAATGTATACATGTTCTATTAATGGCATTGTTTTATTTTCATTGATTAAGCTACTAGATGTACTCAACTTGCCATTTATCATGAAATATGCTTTAAGGACCCAAAAGACCACCCAGAGGTCACATTTAAATGTCTTGTGTTTGTTTACTTGTAACTACAAATTTTTGTTCTCCTTGGTTTAAGCTACATTTCTTTTATTTGGAATATGTTTGGCATGTATTTCACTGTATGTTTCTTCACAATATATAAGACACACCTTTAACCCAGAGAAACCCTGGAAACGTTGAAGGCACACAATTTTACATTTTGCATGTTTGAGTGAAATTGTAGGAGGTACTGTTCTTTTAAGGATAAAGCTTTGAATAAATAAATATAACAGCATGTTGTGTTTTATCTTATTGAATTGATGGTCTTAAGGTTGGTCTTGCAATTATTCATGGATCAAAAGATAGTTCCAGCTGGAGATGAAATGAATACAGAAATATGCTACTTTTTCAAAGTTGTGACTCTTGTGCCAAAAATCCCCTGAAATATAGATTTCAAAGTATGTGAGCTTAAAAATCTAACACTGGATTTGTCGCCTCTCTGAATGACAGAGATGTGCTCACCTGCTATAACTGTGTTAATGCTCTTGTAAATCTTTGGCCTCTTGTCCCCAGGTAACAGCTGTCTGACAGAACATGCTGAATTCCCCTTGTTTCAGGTACTTGAGTGGACTCGATGGATTGTTTAAGTTAGAGTCATTATAATACTGACAAGTCAAAGTTTATTGTATTTTTTAGTTCATGGGGAGGACGTGTTTCATCAAACCTTTGTTCCTAAATCTCTCATTTAAGGTGTTGCATGTTGTTTACGTTGACTTCTTAACAACAAATGACTTTAATGGAGGATTAATCCT